ACATCAGCAATACCAGAGGAACTACAGATGCGTTGCCGGCCTTTGAGGTTGTGATAAGCTCGCTTCTTGAAGGACCCTAAGTCGTAGCGGTTTGGAAATACCGCCGAGGACAGACCAATTCACAACGCTGCTGTGCGAGGCAGGAAGTTTCGCGCAAACCGCACGGTTGTGGATTGCCAGCCATCGAGATGGTGTGGATGAAACCTGACGGTCTGTCGTGTCGTTATTCAGAGAACATAAAATTTACAATAAGGGACGCGCTTAGTGGCTAATTAGCTATAATAGTTGAGCATTGTGTACTCCTGAAAATTTTATCAACGGCTGTACACTCTAAAATATATCGACACAAAAACATGTTGTTCAATCTGTTTGTATAATGATGGGGATGAAAGTGAGGGGTTTTGCAGTGGAAATTCATGGTTATACAAAAAGATAATCCGTCGTGACTAAGGGATGTTAAAGCATCGATACTCGAATTACTTAAAATAGGAATACATTTTAGAAACAAGGACGGAAAAAATCTAATGTAACCTAACGAAGGAAAATCAATTAGCATTCAGAAACATCGAAGTTCGTGTTTCGAATAAGTTCATTATATTTGTTAGTTGTTAGAAAAACGGCGTCATCTCGGCGGCGACTGGGACGGCTGGGTGTTCAACAAAAGGAAACAAAGGCCTCTCGAACCACTTGACTGTTTTGTGTTGCCACAATAGGCGCTTTGATTTCTTCTATTGTGGGAGCAGGTAACAGGTAAAAGCTATACCATTCAACCCCACTATACCCGTACTAGTTTGGATTATGTAATGGATACAGAAGTTCCTCTGCAACTTATTTGATCACTGCACTGATATTTAATCCTTATAAAGCAACTATTACATAAAAGCCTTAAAATCTTTCGAAATTTCCATAAAATATGTCACCAGTAATTTTTCAATATTGGGCAAGGGCATAATTGAGGGTAACATGGGGAAACATGTAAATACCGCCATACGTAAATATACTAAATTACCACTAAGAGTGACATCCAATGAAAATTAAGTATTAAAAGCCTTTTGCTAAGCGTCGGATTAAGTATAATAGTATTTTATTTAACGATTTTGAGAGCGGTAATAGGCTATTAATCTTTATATTTCAGTAATAAGCACTGCTTGTTAAATTTGTATAAACAAATTGAATTTATTTTACTCATAAAACATTTGCTTTATTTTAATAAGGGCTTTATTTATATTTTGGGACTTTATTTGATAAAAATAAGAAAAAAAAGATAATTAAAAATACAATATACATAATATTATTTTTATATATATAACATATGTAATGAATTATTTAGAAGGTGATGTACTAATCATAAATAAAAAAAAACTTTAATTATTATTACGAAGCATCATAAAACGCTTAATAAACTGCATTCTTGAGTTTCGGAGATATCCCACTGCGTAGGCCGGGTTGGAGATTCGAATTTTATGATGTTATAGCTATTAATTTCATTGAAAGATATGTATTTCATTTTCGTTCTTATTTCTTATTTATTAAGTTCAAATTTGAGTAATACTTTTTGTAAAAATCACCTATATATCGCGTGCGTTAAAAAATGTTTTCTAACAAATACTATGGAACGAGAAACCTCTCATCATCTGCCACCCCCAACTGCTCGTTATAATCACGTCCATATTTTATTATACGGTTCATTCGATTTATAACAATCGATCATAAGTCAGGTATCGATTTTAACTCGTAATATCGATGTAGTGTCTAACGCTTGTTTCAATGAAATTAATATTCTATCACAGATTAGATTTTAAAGCTTTATTTAATTACAAGATTTTATTCCGGTTTTAACGTTTTCGCAGTTCTGTGTATTTCTTAATTTGTTGCCAAATAGCATTGGAATATTTACGACTTCCACGCTCGCGATATATAAATAATACTAGCTAACGCCCGTGACTCCGCGTTTAATTTAAAAAATAAATATTATTAGTAGTTTATGTGTCCTTCCACACCATGTTCTATATGTATGCCACATTTCAGCGAGATCCATACAGTTTTGGAGATACCTTCAAACAAACATCCATCCATCTAAACATTCGCATTTATAATAATAGTTAGATGACTAATGTTTTTTTTAAGTATATTAACTTTCGTCGGCAAAGAATAACACGAGATATTCTTTGCCGATGAAACTTCCTTTTTATTCGTATTTATTTCTAAACATAAACGATGTTTTTTTCTTTTTTTTTAAATAAAAAAATGACGCGAGAGATTTAAGAAACATTATGTTAAGAACGCGTGGCTCTGCGCAGAGATATGCATCCAGTTTTATGTGATCCTCAGCCGAGATTCACATGGTAATGTGAAATATTCGTGGCATTCTAAATCCGTGTCCTCGGGCCACTGACTGATTCTACACACAAACCGTCATTATAATGCACTGAAAAGCACAACGCAATAAGGATAAAAAAATTGCACTTATAAATCTACACATTACCGTTTCTATTAATATCAAATTAACAGTATCTTTAGCATGGTTTAATTGACCTTTATTTTATTTAATTAAAAGAAAGAATCAAATAGAAAAAAGTAAAATGTATCTCTAAATTAATTAGTTTCATAAGCTTTTATATAAAAACTAGCGATCGCCCGCCACTCGGTCCGCGCGGAATTAAAAACAAACCTAATTAGTAGCCTTTGCGTTCTTCCAGTCTTTGTTCTACATCTATGCCAAATTACAGCGAGATGCATGTAGCCGTTCTGGACATTCAAACACATCCATCCATCTAAACATTCACATTTATAATATTCATAAGATATAAAACTAAATATATGAATCGCCTCTGTCCTTTAAGAAACATATTTTCATGACCATGATATTATTTTCACTAACTTAGTAATTAATTAAAAATATCTATATGCCCGTCTAATAATTATAACATATAGGGAAGAATACGTATTGAATTAAATTTCACACATGAAAACAGGTGAAGCCGTTAAGGTTAAAGGAGTTCAAAATGAAACGAACAAACAAACATATAAATCACTATAAAAACAATTACCCTTTAGTTAGTCGGGGAAATAAGCTACGTACATTTCACGGTAATTACTTTTGGTATGATTGTTATCTAGTAGACAAAGTATTCTTTTTATTAATTGCTTTTGTTGCAGTAGTTTGAAGATTCAGTACTGAAGTTATAATGTTCCCGACAGATGCACTTTTGACATATAGAACGAACAAAGGGCTCGCTTGAATTCACACGCTACACACAAAAGAACTTTTTTGCTTTCGAAGATTTCGAACGAAATCTAAACGCGAATCACATTGTGGGAGCAAGCCTTAGTTCCATGCTAAGGTTTTTTACATTAAAATAATTGTCTTGTCTCTCATTAAATGAAACCTGATTTTACTTCTACGGTACCTTTATATTATTGATTAAAAAAACTTTACAATTTGCTGAAATATGCAAATATTAAATAATATCATATCAAAACAATAAAAAGGCATGTTATAAAGAACAATTCATACATGTTTCATCTTTAGTTGTTTTGAAAAAAGAACGCCACACTTTGGAATGATGAAAATGGACGATTATAAAGAAAAGAAAAAAATAAACTACATTCTCGGTCGCTTTTGTCTTACTAGTGTCTACAAGCTTTATCTCATGCACTCCAAACCTCGCTCCCCACACTACTAAAAAAACCCTAAAGGTAAAGTGGCGCGCGCAGGTAATGTCGGCCATTTTGTCTCACCATTTATAATGTTATTCCTCTTTTTTTTTTCAATAATCCGCATGTTTTATGGCTTGTTAGGTGGTTTGTTACGACGTCCTCCAACTAATTAAACTGCGGAAACACCAGTAGCGGGAAAGGTCGTTTTTTTCTAACTATAGCGAGATTATTTGTTAAAATAATAGTAATTAATTGTTTTGAAAGTATTAAGTAGATTCATATTAACATATAACTAATATAGAAAAAGTATAAATGAACGTGTTTATAATAAACTGAATTCCATGAAACTGTTCATTTTTATTTACAATGTAATTGATACGAGTGTTTTGGCGGTGAAACCAACCTTTATAATTCATTATAACTTTCAAATGACATGTCATTCTAGAATTATTGTTATAAATATAACAATCGCGTAAACAAACTTATCGTCTTAACGCCTTAACTGCGTATTTAACATTTTGAGCAAACATTTCTGGAGGGCATCTGATAACGCAGCGGAGGATGGAATTTCCTTTTATTAAAACAATTTAAATTTAATTTTCACTGTAAATGAAGGTAGATTAACAGTGGTAGAGCCCGCTTGAACATCTTCGCACGAATTGGCCCGACTCGCCAGGTGAAATACCATGACCACATAGAAGACAAACGTAAGGTGGACGCAATTCCGCGTTTCTTCTGACGAGTGTGTGTCTCGGAGGCCTAATTTAGTCCTCTTTCCCTTCCTACCATTTTTCTTATAAGGAAAGGATGGGAAGTGGAAATGGACTTTCCGGATAAAAGGATGCATGGGAAGGGAAAATACTTTCTTTCTGTGCATCCTCTCCTCTGTCAATTAAAGGTAGGCAACGCATATGCAATTGCGTATGTCTATGGGCAAGGTCACTTCGCTATTTCAGCGATTTCAGATGGCTGCTCGCTCGTTTGCCACTTTTTGATATAAAAAAGATTAAAATTTTGGTACCAATTTAAAAATGATACTCTACTATTTACTTGCTGCTCTACCTTCTTGTTTCTGCTTCCATTTTTAAATTTTATTGATTAAATCCAAAACATAATATTTGACACAATAGCATGATCAATGATAAATAACTAATTTACTTTAGGATCACAGTGACTTAAATAAAGATTAAATCATATTATATCTGATTACATTTCAATAATTATGTAAATATATTCAGGTATAAGGAGAGATTTTATCTCGATAGATATATGTGTTGTAAGATAACATCATACTTGGGCTCTTGACAAAACCTATAAAATCGGTCGAAGATGAAAAAACTTTACATTATTCATTAGCACCATGTTGCAACTAACATTAGCTGATATATCAAAACAGTTGACTAAAGATGTTATTGAAGAAGCTTTTAGATCGAAAACTAACAGTAAAATTGAAGTTGAAAACATAGAAGTGAAAACTGCGGCACCAAAAGGAGAAGGCCTCATCAGCGCTGTTTATCGTATAAATGTGACTGGAAACCATCGTTCATGTTCTTTCGTAGCAAAAGGACTAGTTCACGACGCATTATTAAGAAATACATTAAATTGTTCCGTTTATTTTAAAAGAGAAATAATGTTTTTCTCGAAAATTCTTCCAATATTGATTGAGTTGCAAGAATCTCTTGGAGCAAATGAAAAGATACAAAATAGTGTTCCAAATTGTTATGACTATTTTATTGATGGTCAAAATGATTACATATTGATGGAAGATTTAGGTGCAAGTGGTTATGCATCGATACCTCCAATGCCGACAGAATTTGAAAGAAATGAAGCGCTCAAAGTATTATCTCATTTGCACGCGGTGTCTATGGCGTTAAGAATAACCAAACCTTTTCTCTTTACTAAAATAACAAATGAAATATTCGAATTATATTACCGTGAAGAAAAAAGATCTTGGTATACTCCGTATTTAAAAAGAGCAATGCAGTTAGATTTAGAAGTGCTAAGTGAAGATGAAACAGTATCAAACACTGTTTACTATGAGAAATTTAAAAAGTTAGCATCAGAAGATCCTTACGGTGAATTAGTAAAATTAGTTACAACTCGTGGTGAACATGCGGTTATTAATCATGGAGATGCGTGGTGTCCTAATTTCCTATGCTCAAAAGAAAAAGCAGTCGCAATAGACTTTCAATTGCTAAGAGCAGCCTCCCCGGCTACAGATTTATCGTATTTCATTCTTCTCTGTGGCTCCTTGTGTCAAAGTAAGAATGATTTCATGAAAGCCGTCGACATTTATTATTCTAATTTCGAATACTATTTGAGAGATATGAATATAAAACCCGAAGATGTTTTTACAAAGCAAATGTTATATAGTGAATTAAAGAAGTATGGAAAGTTTGGACTCTTGGCAACTTCGACTAGTATACCTTTGTTGGCAAGCGACAGATGTGATGTGAACACATTCGAATCAAAATATGCCGGAGTTGAAAGAATACCATTAGAAGAACTGTGGCAACTGACACCGATTACCGATGTACAAGTGAAGGAATGCCTAATTAACGCTGTGAGGGTCGCGACCGACTTAGGTTTTATTTGAATCATACTTGTTATAAAATTTTCAAATTATAATTTGTATCATTAGTAAGATGCCAATTAAATTCGTTTTATCTATTGTTAGTTGTTCAGTTTGCGATTGCTGTCATTTTTTTGCTTCTTCAACTAACTTTTTTATGATTCAGACATTATTTATTAACGGAACTCGGACGTTTTAAAATGATCGTTAACACGGTCTCTCGAATGCATTTGTATAAAAATTCTTTCACAAAGCCACCTGTATCTTTGTAGAGATAACGTGGATGAGTTGGCAGTGAGTCGGAATGTTCGGGCTCGTGAGCTCGTGACCGATCAAGAGTCAAAAACTAATTGTGGTTGAAACGTTGTTTGAACCGACAATCTTCGATATGATAGCCGTAGGCAACGAGGCGTGCTAGACGAATATTAACGGTAACTAATATTGAATTCGCGCTGTTAATAACATTTGTATTATATTATTAAATAACATATAAGTATAGCTATATTTTGTAAGATTAAAGTTTCGTTTGAAAAATCCATTTAAGAAGAGGTTTACTCTTGTTTGATTCTTGTATTATAGATGCCAAATAACTTCTAATATATTAGTTAATGTTAAAATCCGCTTAAAAAACTATCTAGTTTTGTCAACAAATTCAAACTGCAAGAGAATTAAAATTGGCGCAAGATTTTTATATATTTGAAGTAAATTTTGTATCGTAAATAAAAATATTTGTTAAGCATATGCGTTTAATTGACGGGAAATACGTAAGTCTTTTGAATGCAAATGTGTTGATTTCGGCGAATTAATGCATTAAAATAGCAACGGCATTGAATATGTGCATAAAATAACTTTCATTATTCCGAACTTGAGTTAGTGTTGAATGTCCTACGACTTTTAACAAAATTATATGTTTTTATATTAATACTAGCTGTCGCCCACGACATTTTCCGCCTGAAATAAAAAAAACTAAATTAGTAGCCTATGAATTCTTTCACTCTATGTTCTTAGTCTAAGTCAAATTTCATCGCTATCATCCATCCATCTTTAGGTAAACATTCGCATCTTATATATACATAAAAGAAAGTCGTGTTAGTTACACTATTTATAACTCAAGAACGGCTTTACCGAAATGGCTAAAAATTGGTGAGGAGGTAGCTTAGAGCCAGGAGACGGACATAGGATACTAAGAACACAAAATAAAACAAAACTCTTCAGATCACATGCAGACGTGTCCACATGGCCAGCACTGGACAGTCCAATCTTACTCTATCAGCAATGAGTTGTAGGTAGCTGAAAATAACGTAGCTTATTAATATTGAGGAAGAATGGAAACTGACAACACACAAGAGTGTGTTGTCAGTTTCCATGTCTGCGAGTTGTTTTTATATTGAAAATTATCAACTATTTCTTGTATAATTTCATTTTAAAATGTTTAGGAATAAATAAATTTCAAACAAAGTCAATAAGTGCATTGACGTATGTAAATAAAACTAAACAATAGAGTTCAAATGGTAAAGGGCAAGTAAAAAAATGGAAATCGAGTTGCATTTACTTAGAACTTGGCTTTCTTATACTTGGCTGTATGAATTAAACATTAATTTATGCACTTACAGTCGCTTTAAACTTACATTTAGGAAATTATACTTACCGATCGCATATCGAGATTTATACTATACTAGCTTGGGCACAAGGGACTTCGTCCCAATAAAAAAAAATAAGTATTTTTATAAACGTATTACTTCGTCTGATTACGTCCCTATGATGTCCCTTTATCCTGTTTAAGTATATTTATACGATGTTTAAATTAATTTATATAAATTTTATACACAAGATTCTATCTTGTTACGAGTTATATGAGCGATCATCAGATAATGTTATTGTTTCAAATTATTTTAATTTAATTTATAATAAAACAAAAATTATGCAAAATATTGAGTTGTTTTTCCTTATTTTTACCTCAATTGAGTGTACGGATAAGACCAAGATTAAACAAGTCTAAGGCCCTTCGTATATAAGACAAGGTAAATCTTCATAATCAAGCGATTTTAGTCGCTTAGCGACTTGTGCAATGCGATGTCATAGAGGCCCGCGTCGCCGATATTTTGTTCTATAGTCGTCAAAACCAGTCGTTTGCAACCTGTTTGTCAATTTTGTCATGAGAAACTACGATTTACAAGATGGCGGAGCAAATCAGCAGTTGATATGTTGTCGCTATACCTACACTCACGGAATAGAAGACTCGAAGTAAGGGTACAACATGAGTTTCAAAGATTTACGTTGCCTTGTTTACGAAGGAGCTAAGTCTTTTATTCTCATCCCTTTTATCAACAACGAGACATTTACAAATACATGAGTATTTAATATAAGCGTTAATTATTATAAATATTACATGGCCCATTAGCGGTGGACCGAAGCGGCGACAACCCAAAGGAGAACAAATTCAAGTAAAAAAAAAATCACGACCTGTGATTGGACAAGGCTCTTAAGATTGTTTGAGGGCGCTTCTAAAAGGAGATAAAGCTTTTAACATTATAAAAAAACGTTGAGAACATTTTGTAAACAGGTTGTAAACGATCTGTTACTGTGCTCTGAGAACACCGAATTCAGGATTCTTGTATCTAAAGAGGTTTGTTAGGATGTATTAGATTTATAAAAATAAAATTGTAAAATAAATACATACATAAATTAAAAAGAAAAGAGAGGTATGTTACCACTTTTTATAAAATTTATAATCTCTATCTACCCAGTTGTGTTGCGGTTGTAAGTTAACCTAACCTATAGTTAATGTACTCTTTTTTTTCCTAATTAGCTTAAGAATGTGTGCTTAAAGAAATAAATAATAAACAATTTGTTTTTGTAAGAATTGTACAAATGAAAAAGTTCGCAAAGTTATTGTGACCAAGTATTATTTATTTCATACTACATAAGTTGTGCTAATTAATTTTTCGAATACAGTTATATGATAAAATTACATGAACATATCAACATGTTTATTTCTTTTTTGTGTTTAATTATTAAGCTGCGATGAATAAAACCGAAAAACAAATTAAAAGAGTTTTGTTTTATTGTTATTTATATATTTTATGGTAAAAGATTGTTAACCTTTTTGTACGTGGTAAGAAAAATTTCAAAGATAATATTTAGTTTCATACAAATATATGAAGGTTTAGTAAATGTATCTTACAAAATTATTACTTATTTCATTTTGCATGGATTATTTATTTCCTGATATAAAAATAAATAGACGTTTAAAGATTTTTTTTATTTAAAGAAGGAAAGTTTTAATCTACAATTAACATTTCTGATTAAGAGTGTTCATAAAAACAGTTTCTTTTTATGTCAATGAACATCGTTAAATGAAGATTTTATTAGAGTTATGGACATAAAATAACCAGAAAAAATTTCGGTACCGTAGTATCAAATTTGTGGTTGAACAAGTTACCATAGACCACGAAAGAACTCATGTAGCCCGTACCATCTAACCGACGAATGTTGTAAATCAACTAAATGGACTCGGCATTTTTTACTGTTCCCTCAATACGGTGACCATGATTAACTAGCGGAAATACCAATATAATGTTAGCTCTTCATCTTATTAGCAATATAAGTTAATAATTACAATATAAAAGAAATACAACATATGCCACTAATAGCATAGTTTTATTAATTTTAAAATAATATAAATCCAACAGCTTAACAAAACGAAATTTACTGTTGACTTAGTACAACTTCTCAGGTTACTAATTTATATTGTGCCTATCTATATTAAACTGCCTACAAATTTCCATAGTCAATAAAATATGTTTTATGTGCCTGCTATGTCTATCAAATATGGGCTTGGTAAGATTATCATTACTGTCCATTGACTAACATATTCAGATATATACTCGTCTTTTATAGTAATTATAATAACTATGATAATATTATTAACATATTTTAGCGATTGCCGCACCTATATTAATAATGCGGGGCTCGATGCTGTTCTTATGGACACCCTTGTGTCAAATCGAACCTCTTAACTTTTATCAAAAAGCAACGAGCGAGCGCATCTTGTTTGTAATCGTCGTACCTAAAAAGTCGGGAACATGACATTAGAACCTCTTATTTTCTCTTCAAAGGCTAATGCAAACTTGAACGGTCAAGATAAAGCTAACGCAATGATTAGTTGAAAAATATCTTAGCAATGCCGTTGTTATTGATGTCCGCTTATAAATGTTTAATTAAATATGTTATAAAACGCATTATAGGTATTTTACATACATGCCTGTAGTTGAAAATATCTTTATTATATTATAAATGCGACAGTTTAGGTGGATTGATGAACGTTTGTTAGGCATCTCAAGAACAGTTGCGTGGATCTCGCTGAAATTCGGCACTGATGTAGAACATAGTCTGGAAGAACTTCGTCGAGCAAACGTCGGATAAATGTACATATGTAAATCGGAAATCGAAAAACACATTGGTACATGGCGTGATTCAAACCCAGGACCTGCAGATTGCAATGCTTGACCCCTGAGCCACCGACGCTCTATGTTATTCACAATAAGTTAAAGAGTTATCTTTTAATCGAAAGTACGGTACCGACATATTTCACAGTAACATAATCAGGTTTTTAAGATGATTATCATGGATGACGTTTAAAAGGGTATCATAAAGTGCGTGAGCTATCATCTTGTTAACTTAATTATTAAATATTTTTTACGAACTTGTATGTAGTCAGTTAACTTTTCTGGTCAACAGTTTTGTCCATACCGAGATCACATCAAAATTCGGAATACCTTAGGAATAAATGTATTATTTGATAGTAAAGGTATATTGAATGAATATTGTACACCGTTAGTAAATAAAAGTGTTTATTAATTACTAGCGGCCACCTTTACATGTTTTAATATGCGTTAACAATATTAAACATAGATCCTATTATCTATGTACTAGTTGTTGCCCGCGACTCCGTCCGCGCTGTATTAAAAAATCTTAATTAATAGCCTATGTGTTCTTCCAGACTATGTCCTACATCTATGCCAAATTTCATCAAGATCCGTTGAGCCGTTCCGTAGATACCTTCAAACAAACATCCATCTATCCATCCATACATTCGCATTTATAATATTACTATGATAACACCATTATAAAGATAAAAAAAAACAGATTTTGGTCAAATGGTTTTCAAGTTTATTCGTTTTATAATTCAATACATATTTATCATATAAATGAGGAAATTTTTAAATTAACAAGCAACGCTGGGCACAAACAGTTAGTTTAAAATAAATCTTAAAGCTCTCAGTGGCATGGAATGCAAAGTGAACGGCTGGTCACATTAATGATCATATGTAGATTGTGTTCGCATTTACACAAATATTTGTTGTATATGTAAGTATATAACGTATTTATATATACATAATAATTAGCAAGATTTATTTCATTATATAAAAATCTACATGATTTTTGAACAACATAATATTTGAAAATTTTAACATAACAAAAACCCAACGCCTTCTTACTATATACATTGTTTCATTATATTCTTGAAGATTTCATTTCGCGTAATAAAAGATTTAAAAGAAACATAAGGGCCGACATACACAGTCTGTTTAAAAAAAATCTTTATTACAATTTTAAAGAATCGCAGCAACATCTGCATTCAACGACTACAGCTAACCACAGTATATAAGCTTTCGATAAATACTGTTTAAAATAGTCCGTGTATGGCAATCCTGAGTACTTTTGGTAAACGCAA